TGACTTTTAAAGTGTCCCATCCTTCCTACAGTGGCTTGGAAACTTTCCCTACTGTCACATCTGATTCTGACCAAGGTCCAGTGACAACCTCACTGGGACCTGGACACCACCAAGGTGCTTTGACACAGACAGGAGGGATGTTTTTAGATATTTTCATGTAAATTCTTCTTTTACCAGAGTTGCTGGCAAGGTTTTTAGCAACAGTTTGTCAGAAATGGGGTTTGCAACGCTTAAGGGGTGCTGTGCTTCCCTCAGAGGTTAGCACTAGACAGCTTTTGTTTTTTAAATTGTAAAGCTACGCTGGTTTAACAAAGATTGCCTCCAGGACAGTAATTCCCATATTTACGACTCTTACCACAGAAAATGCATTTACCATGTTTATGAAAGTTACTTGAAATAAATACAGCACCCTTGACTTTTGATGTCTTTTTTTTCCCCCTATCATTTCAACACTCTTTTGCCCTTTTGACTAAGTTAACAGCTTGCAACTTTTGCTAATTATTTGTCATGACCAGCGTTCAGTTCCACCCATTCTCAATTAGTTGATTTGGTCCATTTTACTCATTTTATACATTTTCTTTGAATGCTGTTTTCAAACAGTTTTTTTATACATTTTGCAATGCATGAGCCTGGAATTGATTCACATGATGTTGCTAATAATAATGCTGCTGCAAAGAGTTAAGAATCAGTACTAATTATAATCAAGTGTTTGGACTTACATGTATATTCCTCAACTTTTCAAAAGAGCTTTTTCATACTGATGTCTTTTTTTAAAAGACACTAGAAGTCAATCTTCCTCTCATTCTCACTGCACCTCAGAAAATCTGAGGAAATATTCTTTCTTCTTTCACAAAAACTGTCAAACAATAGAAAACATCATAGTACCTTTACACACTAGCATGGCATTTTCTGTACCCTGACCTCAGAAATATTGGTAATTATAGTTCGCTGTGCCTCAGTTGTGTAATATATTTATAAACATGCATTTATCAAAATATATTTGTGTTTAAAATGTGTTGTACTTCAAAAACTTATTTCTCTACACTTGGTGTGGCATAATACATTTATACAACAAAATGCATTTGTATTTGTACTTACAAATGTATTTTTGTCTTTTTTCTAGGTTATACACTATAATTTCCAAAGGGTTGACATAATTTACCTTTTTTGTAGGAGAAATGTGTTCCACTCTCTTAAAAACCTGCATTTTTACGTCACGGTGTACGCTAAAGGAGCAGTGATTGAAATTGTTGTCAAGGAAGAATGTATTAAAATTATTAATAAGACTTAAACCCACATGAGACTTACTGAATCATCTGATCTGACCTAAATTCATGACCCTTCCTCCCAGTTCTTCCCTTCTCATACTTGCACCAAAATAGGAAGACCAAAAGGATAAAAAACTGCCAACATAATAAAGGCCCGTGAAAACTGTACATTTGCATTAGGTTGACATAACATTTTATGATTATAATAATATAAACAAATAAACTATAAGGGCATGCACATCAGACCTCATTTCAAGCTGAACTATTATAAAGCGATTAACAGCCTCACAGTCCCGCTTTAATTAAGTTATGTTGTGAAATATTCAGCATTTGAACCTGTTCTGGCCTGCCTCTTTTATCATTGAATTACCATCCTTAATGTGTTTTTCTGCTGAAAGATGAATTTCATTTAAGGATTACTGTACATTGCTCTGGCATTTTGTGGTTTCTTGTCAGCCCTTGTGAATCTAGATCATTGCTAACTTCAGTTTTTCTGACATGTCCTATATGCACAGTCTCTTGACTAGCCTGTCTCTATGGATTTATTAACTCATATTGTATTCCTGTAGAAATGAATGGACATTTTTGATTAACTTAATGATAGAAATTTCAGATGACAGTACAGTTTACTTTTGGAGCTTACTTCTGGTTATGTAGGCCACAGCAGCTCTCTAGTGACCTATCACTTCACAGAAATGTGTTTTGAGAGTTTCAAGGCAGTGGACATCTGTCTGCCAAATACTTTCAGATGGTGCTAGCAAGGAGGGAATTGAAAGGGGTCTTTAAATCCACAGCCACAAGCAGAACTGTTCCCCCTTCTTGGAAGTGGTATTCAAATGTTATATTCCTCTTTCCTTCCTACATATTGAAGAGCCTGCCTTCAGGAAAACTCACACTACCAGGTGATTTGAGGAAGAGTTAATGAACAGTGCTCCAGTGAAGGGTCCTCCTTCCTTCCCTTCTAGTGCCCACCCCAGACCAAGGCTATGCAACTCACCAGAGCACCATTAGTTTTAGCAGTGCCTTTTCTCTTTCAGTTGTCAGATGATCAGTCTGTGCTTTTGGTTTGTTTTTTTCTGGGGGAGGACGATGACAGTAGGGATGGGAGGAGGACATGCAGAACAATATTATCATGTTCTCATGTTCTTTTGGCTAGTCACATCAATGTCCTCAGAGGGAGTTCACCAGATCTTGAAATGTGACAACAGATCAGATGGGTTTGTTTAGTCCCACTGTCCTGCAGAACTGTCTGCTCTTGGGGAGGAAGACAAGGACTTCTGATGCCATATCTGATCCCATATAGATATGGTGTCCTGGGAATGGCACCTAGAGTCAAGAACTTCCAAAGAAGATCTTAGCCCTGGCAAGGTGAAGGTTTGTTCAGACACAAGGTTTGAGTAACATGACTTGGGCTTCCCCACATTACCATCTGAGTGTTGTAAATTACACTCAGATCTGGCATTGATTGAAAAAATAGGTGATAATGTATTTGTGTGAAAGTAGTGGAAGGTCCATGCTCTTCCCTGTGCTGGACAAGAACAGAATGCATATTTCTGCCCCCAGAGCTCACAGATCAAACAGGCCAAACAGAGCTGAAAAGAAGCATGTGGTGTTCATATCCGTGGCCTGCAAAACACACAGTAAATAAGCCCTCTGTTAGTTGATAGGGACAAGCACAAGAGAAGGACAAGCAGATTCAGTGAAAGTGAGATAAAATGAAGGTCAGACAAGAAGCAGGGGAAAGCATGGGACTGATTCTGGAGGGAAGAAAATTTTGAAGAAAAGAAGGAGGATTGTGACAGAAATCACCCTGTTTGCTGTGTTTCCTGTAGACTGAAGTTCTGAGCTGGGTCTTAACCATTTTTCTTACCATAGATCAGGGAGGAGACATGAAGCCAGGAAAGCCTTGATGCTCTTGAATTGGACAGGTTAGAAATTCTGGTAGTGAGACACTGGGATGAGAGAGGAGGGTAACCACTGCAGGGGCTGTGGTGTGGCAGCTCTTGCAGCTGCTCCTCTGTGCTCACACTGTACCAATGGAAGTTGCCTTCCTGCTTTCTTGGAACCACTGGCCACGTTAATTCTTATGGAGCACTGTATAATGCAGGGATGTGTCTTGTGCGCTAGACAGAAGAAAATACAGGCCTTGTCCTGTCCTTATGGCTGCTGTATGTTCCTAATATGTTGTCCTGAATGAAAGCCTTTGAACCCTTTGGTGTGAAAAATTCAAACTGTCCTTATTTAACCTTAAATTTCAGATGACCTTTCCTTTTTTTAAAATGTAAAAAAAATTTATTAGGGCTGATGTAAATGGAAGCTGGTGCTAAAATGAAGCATCCTATTGTTCTGTCATTCCTGGAAAAGAGTTGGAGATAATTTCCTATACGTGTTCTTGCTTTCTTAATTCACCTAAAACAAATCCTCTCCTAAGGCAGTGTCCCATAATAGCAGCATGCACGTCAGGATTGTGGCATTGGCACACTGTACTAGTTATGGGATTCCTCGTAATGCGTAAGAACAGCTGAGGAAATGTGAACTGGAACACAAGCAAACTGAGCTAAATCTAACTTTCACCAAGTGAGGGCAAAAATTTGTATCTGGTTTTTGTGGTCTCTTGTAAGAATCTGACCTCTTCATTTCAGCAAAAACTAAAAGCAAGATTATGGAGAAGAAGGTTTTGATGTACTGATCTTAAATGAGAGCTTTTCTTTAGCTAGCTTTGTGAGTAAGTTCCAATAATTTCTGCCAACGCAATACACATTCTTGAAAGAAAAAACACGTGCTAGGCCAGCAAAAGTGGTATTTTGTCCACATTAAATAGAAGTGTTAGGGAAGAGCATGCTGATGTATTGTAAGGACGTAGCAATATCACCAATCCCTTCCTTCCACAAACAGGAGTAGCATCTCATGGGAGAAAATGAATGACGAAAAGGTCTTGCAAAAGTGAGGGTTAAAAAGCTTATGTTTGCACTTCAGGGGAAGTGTAAAAATAATGCTTCTCATCATCATTTCTAGTTAAGGATAAAGGGTGCTTAAGCCTTGTGCCATGATCCGTCTGAGGTCTTGAATTCTGCTCAGCCTGTGTAAAGAATTAACAGGAAAAAGGCTAAATGGAAATTCTGAGATACAAAACCTACCAAAGCAAACATGTTTAGAGCAAACTAGGAAACTAGGTAACTGTTAATAAACTAGCTTTACACAATGCCCTAAAATACACCTAATTTACTCTGCCTCATCTACAATTCAGTTAGCAGCACAAGGTTATTTTAATATAATACAGAGATCAGAGACTAAAAAGTGCTTGTGGGTACAGGAGCAAAGGCTTCTCAAAGAGAGAGAAATACAAATACTCGCTCACAAAATTCTTGGGAAGCTTTTCTTTTTTTTTTTAATCAGCATTGCCATTTTATTGTTTAACCTACCCGGCTCGATCTCCCTACTTTTGGTTAATACGGGAGTCAATTACAGCTTCATCTGTGCAGAATTAACTTTATAGAATATACACTGGGGATTTGTCTATCTCCTCTATTTAGATCTATGTCATAAAAAAAATATGTAGTAGAGAACTGTGTGCAAGCGCTGCATATGGTACAGGCTTTGCAGATTTATTGTAAAATCATTTTAAATCGGTTAAGCTCTTGCCAGAAGTTAATTAAATATGTTCCTTTGGTGGGGGGCGGGGGGCTCTGTGTGTGTGCCGTGTCCGGGGGGCGGGGGGCTCTCTTTCACTAGGTGGCAGTGTCTGATTACATCTGGAAGGACCACGCCAGCCAGCCTGGTGGCTCCAGCTGTGACCTCCAGCGCCAGCATGGAATGCCCGACGCCGCAGCCAGCCGGGAAGGCAGCACCACTGTCCACGTCTGTGTCTACACGGTTCACCTCAGCGGCTTCCAGGAGCTCTACAGGCGCTTCCTCAGGCTGCCTGATGGGGCTATCATCGAGGTAGGTCCGAGCAGGCTCCTCGCTGCCAGATTTTGGAGGCAAAGGGGTGCATTGCAGAGCTAGGCACAGCCAAAAGAGGAAAATAGGCCGTGCCTGACCCTGCCTGAAATACACACTGAAAGCTGTAGGAAGACCTCACTCCTGAAGAGAAGTGTATAATCAATGGGTTAATGCTTTTGCAGTGCAAAGTAGCAATTTGGGATTGTTTATAGAGCCATTTAAAGGCAATTATATAAGATATACATTGAAACTACACACATAGAGATTATTTATAAATATATATCACTTAGAACCACATAAGGTCATTCCGTACAGGAATTATTATATATATATATATATATATATATAAAAATATACAAGGTAAGAATTGTGCACATTTAATGGGCAGCTATTACTGCGATTATGGCTATTCACTTAGTTTGTACTCAGATACACAGAGCTGAGGCACAGTTGGATTACCTACTGGCATCTTGTATGTTTTAGATTGAATCTTGGATGTTGTCAGCATTTCAGGAGCTTGTGCACTAAAATACAATACAGGATGTTATTAAAGAGATGTATCACCCATTACTTGTTTCATGGGCTGCATTTTGTTCATTGCTTTGCCATTTTTGTTCTAAGTGCTTTGAAGAAGAACATTTCTTTTTTGCCTTTGGTCTTGTGTTGAGAGACTCTTAAAAAAAGATTGGCATTTAAGAGAAAGTAGAGTCAAAGAATATTACCTTGCCTACGCAGATAAGAAGTGGGAGCATCATCACAGAGAACTTGGCACAAGTGATGATGAAACACAGTGTTTTCATCTGCGCACTTCTAAGGTGAAGGTTTGAATACGTCTTTCCAGCATGAGGCAAACATTGCTTCTGCTCCTTTGGTTAATGGTTCAAGGCTGTTTTCTTCATTAAAGATTTTGCTCTTAATGTCTTTGCCCTACTTGGCTTTTTAAAGAAAATTTAATTTAAAGGAAACTGTCCTCAAGGATTTCAAACATAATTTTCTGCCTGGGGAACTTGTGATTCACCAGAGTGAAGACACCAGAGTCTTCAAGCTGGCCAAAGAAAACAAGAGAAGGCATGTGGCCTACATGAAGTAGACCCCAATTACTGGAACAAAGAAACTGGCAAATCCAGGTCCATGCCCAAATCTTTTGAAGAAACTCCTCATGTGAATAATTGCCTAGACTTTTGCTAAAACACCTTTTCCATGTTGGAGGTCAACCAGGCAGCCCAACTCCTACTTTCTGCCTGTTAAAAATGTACCTTTTTGCAGAATGGTTTTTCCCAGTTACGTTTTTCTCAGCTTTTCAGTGGTGAAATTTAATTCAGCTTCCACCAGGCGTTGGAAGGAGGGTCTTTGAATACCTGAAGCAATCCTAATCCAGTGCCCTGTTTCAGTTCATTAATCTGAATCTGTTTTGTACTTCTGAGAGAGAAGAAATGTGTTCTCATATGAAATGGCTTTGTCTTCCCAGGTGAGCTTTTGAGAAGCTTCCAGCATCCACAAAGTAAGCAATGTATAATGTGGATAGCTGGAGCCACTTCTCCTTAGTTTCCCACACCAGATCATAACATAGCCTATCCCTAAAATTCATGACTGAGTCTTCCTCATTGTCTTGAAAGCTGCACATCTAATTTAAAAGATCAATGCATGCTTTACAGCATTTTTACTTGTAGATCTAAATGCAATTACATGTAAGAAATGTGCTTAACTAATAATTGCAGTAAAGCCCATATACAGATCTTATATTTAGCTGATAACAGATGTAATTATACATTTGTGTGTTTTATAGGTCAGGGCTTTCTACTTCAGTTCCAAATTAGGAACATTTAATGAATTTTAAAACTATACACTGACAAATGAGAAGTTTGCTGCCATGGGGAAAAATACACCTGAGCTTTACTACTTGCTGCTGTTGTTACCCCTCAGGAACATTGTTTTTTTTTTACCCTTTACTGCAGCTAGACAAGCAGGGGTACTTGAGTGGGGCTAGAAAATTGTTTTGGAGTTGAAGGGTGCATTGCAATGTTATGTATAGTTTTTAAGAGTGCAGGAGATGAAAGGCAGCTGGGCTTCTTGGAGTAATCTTTTCAATTTGCTCCCTCTGTTGACAATTTGTTGTGTATAAGCACTTTCAGTTTGGTTATCTAGAGCTCGTTCTAAAGACTCAGGTGATTTAGTTAGGTAAATCTGGTCTGCCTTAGGGTTAGGTAAACTAAATTTTGCTCCCAATGACTCAATGGAAAGATTTTTCTGGATCCTTATAGTCTGTTTGGTCAGAAGTCTCCTGTTATTCTAAATTTAATCAACTTCCATTGGATCACCCATTGGTGTAAATAAGATTTCCCTTTACTAGAAATCTACCTACATAATATAATTTCATAATCTTACCTGTTTTATTCTGGAATGGGTACAACACCTCATCAAAAGAAACAAGATGAGTTTGCATTTTGCTTTTCATTCCTCTCCTCACTTTGCCAGCAATGGGGAAGGAGGGAAGGCTTTTCTTCCACATTGGTGAGGGCAGAGAGTATGATCTATTCTCTTTCCCTGTCATAGGAGACAGGGAGACTTCTAGGACATTCTGTCATAAAAATGACAGCTGCCTTTCTTCTTTCATCATGATCAGCAAGCCTCTTTCTCCTCACCAGAGACTAGATATTTGTATGAAATGTTGTGTTGGGACTGTAGGAACACGACCTGTAAGAACAGGTGTGGTCTGTGGCAATTGTGACCTGCCCTACCTTTGTATATACATCTACCTGGTCTGCAGTGTCCACAGAGTAAGAAAACAATCAGTTTTCACTCATTTTGTTCTTCTGGATGGGCTAGTGCTCTGTACAACTGCAGAATGCAAGGAGAAATTCAACAGCATCTAGGAACTGGGGGTTACAAGCACCTTCTTCCTGTGAAACAATCCTCCTTCTTATTGCAGTGACATATCAAAGATGAAAATGTAATTATTTCAGTGTAAATTTTTGCTGGTTTGTTCACTTTTATTGAGGAACTCTGAAGGCATGTAAATCACAAGACAGCAAAATGAAAAGACTTTGACTTTTAATTTCTGTAAGTTTCAGGAATCACACCTGAAAGAGCCATAACATTTGTTCCTAAATACTATAGTGGAACCTCATGAATTTAGGCATTTGGGGACTAAGATCTGTCCATCAGATATTTAATGCTTTGGGCCATTTACAGCATGATGGGTAGACGGGTTTTGGTGGGTGTTCTTCAAAAGTAATGTGTTTAATAGGAGGAAATGAACTATTTGGCAGAAAACAACACAGGAATTATAATTACTTTGAAAAAGTATGTGCAAATATAGGCATTGTTTGGAGGGCACCACCAGCATAAGCAGTAGATTCTTGCATTCAGCTAACTGAGGGGTGTGTGCAGGCTGGTGAGCTCTGAAGCAATGATTCTCTTGCCAAACCCAGGAACATGAGAAGAGCACTGAAATCACCAGGCCAAATTCTGCCTCAGATTCATGTGTTCAACTCTTGCTGACTTTAACTTCAGATATGTTTCTGTATCTGCAGATATTCTTTGACAGGCATAAGAGGAATTTTGCATAATCTTGCTGTGAAGTCCTTGGATGCTCGTAAGGAACTCACTTCATATTTACAGCCTCATCCTACTCTTTTATACTTTAGTAAAATCAAGATTCAAGATTTTCTCATAGCCCTAATCCAGCAAATTACTTCAATGTGAACCCAATTTTATCCAGGGAGCCAAAACTCACTTTAATAATAATTACCTTTCTTTCTTTTTTTTTTTTTTCCCCCAGCAAGCAAAGCCAGTTTGTAAGTACTGTGTACAGAAGGATACTAGCTAGGAATAAATGTCCTCTAAGTAATAGCTTCTTTAAAATACTTATTTCTTTTTGTGTGGTATTGCCATTCAAGGTCCAGATTTCCTGGTATAGCTAGAAATTTCATGTCTGGTATGAAAAGTAGTTTTATAGGTTTCATAGGGATGAGGTAAAACTAACTGTTTTAAAAGGAGCATTAAGTACAAGGTGACATGTATAAATTGCCCTAGAAATGTTAAATAAAAAGATTTTTTTTTGAATGTGCAACATAAAAATTATAGAGGTTAAACTTGTAGGTGAAGTCTTTTTATCATAAGCATTGTAAAACTCGCAGAATTCACATGCAGTAAAAACCATTTTTCTTTTTACCTATAATATATTTCCCCTTTATAGTAATTCAATTTAACTGTTGGCTAACCAAGGAATGACCTTCCCAAAATAAATCACTTTTCATGCTTTTCGGTATTCATTAATCTGATGTTATTGTAATATAAAGGAAATGATTGAATTTTAACATTTAAAACATATTTGAAATCGATGCACAGAAAAGTTAATGGTAGTGGTACGTGTTTGCTGTCTTCGTGGTGATAACGCCAACTTGGTGATTTTTATCTCGACTTTTGCTGACTGGAGTTGATTTCTTATTAAAAGGGCAAAGATAAGTCACTTTAACTCAACAAAAAATCAGTTTCTTATTATAGGCCTAGTAAACCTCAGCATTGTAGGGGAAGTTTTTGTATAGCATGATTTTATCTATCAAATAAGCCTTCACAAATGTCAAGGATTCATCCAATTTAAACTTACTGGATAAAAGAGATCTGTTTTCCCTAATTACTTGAAAAGTGCCTAGCAGTAATAGGATAAGACAGCGTAGGTGACTAGCCAATTACTTAGTTTAAGCTATTTACATCAATCCATATGCTATAAATTATGTCTAAACCCTCCTGCACTTCTGGAAAAGTGAATAAAATCATATAAGTTTATTTTGAATACAAGATCAGATATGGTATGCTGAGTGACACTTAAAAAGAATGAAACTGTAACCGTAGCTTATTTTCTGAAGCAATCTTGACACTAATGCTAAATTACAGCTTGGAAACATCTAGCATTTTTACCTTTATGAGAAAAGGCTTTTTACATATTTAACATAATTCTAGGGAAAATATACTGGAATTATGTATAAAGATATGTACACTGTAACCAAAGGGCATTTATAGTCCCCAGTAGAATACTTACAACAATTTTATTGCCATTTGGTGTCATTTTCTAACAGATATAAAATACAGCCAGTAAACAAACTAGACTTTAGATTTAAGCTGACAGCTGTTCCTTCAGAAGCAATATTCAGATATTTAATCTTAAGAATACTGAATATTTTACAATTGTTTGAGCAAACTATACTTTTAGCATGTGAAGGACTGCATGCTTTTATATACAGTTCTTGGATCTGATAATGACATTAAAAAACAACCTTAGAATAATCTACACATTTGTTGCTCTCTTATATTCCCTGGGCAAATCAACAAATTGCCTCATGTTTTATTCTTAATTCCACAAATTCTTTTTTTTATACACAGTGTTGCTATGAATATTGGGCCCTATTTTTTTTCCTGTGTGCATAAGCCATGCAGTTGACTCCAGCGGAGTTTATACATGGATATGAGTGCAGCTTTTTCTGGCCTTAATTTCATTAAAGCAACAAATTCGCCTATTTACTGCAAAAGCCCCATGTGGTATTTTCATGAAGAGTCTCACTTCAGTGGTCACTAAAGGTCTGTGGAGGAGAGAAAGAGGGAGGATTGCTCTAGATCAGTACCTGAGGTTGGTGCCCATCCCCATGACTTCATCTTCATCTCACCAGACACTGGGAGGGAACAGCTCAGCTCTGGCTTTTGTGTGAGGATGTTCTGGCTGGGAGAGAGGCTGGGCAAAGGTAATTACTTGGTGTAAACTGACCCACTTTGGATGGCTTCAGCAGCTTCATGCCAGGTCATCCACAAACATGGCCCATTCAAACCAACCATGAGTTGATTTCCTGGAAATCCCTATAAAAGCAGGGATTAAGAGGAGAGGTTTGTCCCACAGAAGAGTGATTAATGCATGTAGGTGTGTACATACTTGTGGGGTGAATAGGCTTTACCACATGCTGCCTGCCTAATTCTGAGATTTAATCTTGTCCCGTTAAAAACGTAATATGTTTTGCAACTGCATTCAATGGGAGCATGATCTCTCTCAACATGCATTGAGGTTCAGTTGGGAATCATACATTTTACCAGCTCAGCTAAGGGATACTCCCATGGACAAAGGCAATTGGATCAGTACACCCTGCAAACTTACAGCCCTTTTGTTCATGGTTGTGGCAGTATAGCAAGTTTCACCTCAAATAAGAAGTAAACCAGACTGTTTTAAGTTACTGTTACCAGTATATATCTCTCCTTTAATGTTATAATTTAATTAAGGGTAATCAGTTTAAGAAAGAAATTAGTTGTCCCGGCAGCTCTTTTCATCTCACTGAAAAGATGAGAATAAGGAAAAGAGATTTCCTGGGGAAATCTTGTGGTTGTATGCTTTGTTCTTAAACTGATCCAGCCCATCTCACATGTGACATGCAAACCCCGTCCTGAAATGGACCCAGTCTTGGGCTCCTTGCCCTTGTGGTAGGTAAGCCAATCCCTCTGCTGCAGGTGAAGTGTATGAGCATGTGTCTCAGCTGAGCAGGAGTTTTTTCTCCATATCTTCTGTTTCAGGTTGTTTCCCTGTAAAGTAAAAGATTAGGTCCTTGTCTTTCTTCAGTAAATTGTGGTATAGTTTTAAATGGAAGCTGTGTCTATTAATTGAGAATCTGTGGTCAAGACTACGTTGCAGCAGGATGGAAATGCAGGAGGCAGCCTTGCAGCAGGAGGCAGCCTTGCAGCATGTGGTCATTTCCACCCTCCCTGGTGTTCTACAAATCTCAGATTTTATATGCTCTGTACCCCAGAAAGTCATAGAGTCATGTGGAAAAAGATGTCTCTTTTATCCAAATGGCCATGTCCTGCTCATCCATGCTGCTGTCTGTGCTCTGATAGGAGGACCAGGAAAGAAATTAGACAGGTCCACTGTCGGTCATTTTTAGCAGGACTCATTGCCTTTCAGAGAACTAAAAAATTACTGAAATACCAGAACTACAGCATTATAGTCTTGTTCTGTATATGAATATTCAACTTTAAATCATACTGGCATCTTTTTTGCTTGCAGAGAATGTGGGGTGAGGCTCAAGGGTTGCCTACCTAATCAACACATACACAAATATATTGTGTTAATGGAAATTTTAATTTCTTTTTTCTTGGGATTCTGAAGAGTTAGAACTCTTTCCCTCAGTTGCAGAAGGAGTGGCAGCAAGTTCAAGCACACCCATTCAGTCTGAGCCAGTGCTCAAGGGAAAAATGCTGCCATAGCTCTCTAGTTGTATTATTTAGCAAACAGCAGTGAGGATAATGAAGGGGTACTTTAAAAGTGTTATTTTGCATTAAAAAAATACATCTTTCAGTTTCAACTCACATTAAACACCAAGATTTGCTGTATTTTAAGTGATTTTCAGAACAATTTTATGCTGAAAGGGCAGAGCCACTGATTGTTGCAGAAGGTATTTTGTACTTTTGAACACTTATAATCTTTATTCATCTATCACAGTTTTACCTGAATCAGCACTAAAATCTCTGAAGTCAAAGGATAATTGCCAAAACAGCATTAACTTACTTTATCTGAATAAAAAAAATAACCTTTGAAAAAGTACCTTGCAGCTACACAGATTGACAAAATGCATCAATTATATTTTTGCTCACTTTATAATTACATTGCAGTAAGTGCACAGTGAACTTTACTACATGGTTGATTAACAATAAGGTTACTGCTATTAAGTCACTCTCAGAAACAACAACTTGGACTTTAATTTAAGAACATAACTCTGCACAACATCTGATCAAGTTAAAAAATCTGACATATCTATACAAGCTTCAATTTAAAGTTCACAAGTAAATGATAGCACCTTAATTGTAGCAAAGGGTTCCTATTGCTTCAGTCAGTCATGCTGGGTATGTGAACAAGCCAGGTTTGGAAGAGCTCTTGGTATGTGTTAAGCAGCACCAAAGGAAAGGCTTTTCCAGTGAACTCTGAATATCCCCTGTATCCTCGTTTTTCTTGCATAGAAACAAGTCTTATGAAGAGCAGAGGAGGGCGCTGGGGTTGTGTAGCCTGGAGAAAAAGAGAAAAGGGGTGATCTTACCACACTACAGCTGCTTGAAAGGAGGTTGTGGCCAGGTGGAGGTTGTTTCCTTCTGCCAAGTAACAAGCAACAGGACAAGAGGAAATGGATTGGATATTCGGAAAAATTTCTGGAAGGGTTTTCAAGCACTGGAAAAGGTTGTCCAGAAAAATGGTTAAGTCCCTGGAGGCATTTAAAAGACATCTGGGTATGGCACTTGAGAACATGGTTTAGTGGTGGACTTGGTGATATTAGGCTTATGGCTGTACCAAATGGTCTTGAAGGTCTTTTCCAAATCTACCTAAATGATTCTAAAAACTTTTGGGGAATTAGGGTTGCAACTCCAGGCATACACTGATGATATTTCCACATATTTTTTTCAGATTATTGCAACTGGAAAAATATTTCTGTTTCTGTTAGCTCACTGACACTGTAGGCCTGTCTCCTGTCTTCTTGACTTTGTATAATGCAAAAGTGTTGCTATGAAATCCTACCATGATGTTGTATCTGTTTTTGACCTGCCCTGATATGTGTTTATGCCATGAGGGAAACAGCTTTGGACAACCTAAAACTGAACTATCACTTAGTTTGAAAGAATAAAACTTAAAATAATGTAGCAGCTGTTCTGTGAGAAGAAAGAATAGCCTGGTGCAGAGAAACCTGCCTAGTATTTAGTCTCAAATTTTTATGTGAGGTGGTGCATACTTACTATGTTGCCTGTTTCCCTCTGTTCCTGGGGCAGGAGCAGACAGAAAATAAGAATATGCAAAAAAATACAATAGAAATTACTGACTATTCCCTTACATGTACCTGTGTTTGGAAAATTTATTATAGCTGTGGTAAACTAGATTGAGAATAGTAAAATTCTTTAAAATATTACTAGATGACTGGCTCAACCTGCTTTTTCGTGCTAACATTTGAGTTACAGCAGCTAGACAGAGCTGAGCTCAGTTACTTCTCAGTATCTGAAATCTGATTTCTGTTCAAATTCATCAGAGCAAAATTTCTCTTTTATGGGCACTCCAAAATATGAAAACAGTTGGAGTCAGGGCATTCTTGTGCAAAATGCCACCCACATGACACAAGCTGAGCATCTGACATGTGATGTGGTAGCTACTAATGAACAGAGCTGAGTGTGATGCAGTGCCTTGGCTTTATAACCAATTTCTAGTCCTATAACATCACCTCCTCATGGCCATGATTTCCTTCTTTGAGTGTATGTTCTTTATTCATTCAAATCTTCTCCATGTGTCAAGAACATCATAAGGAGAAATTATGAAAAACAACGAGTGTAAAAATCCCCATTCCACTGTTTTACTAAAGCATTTAGAGTGAGAAAAATTAGGTGAATTCACATTTCACATATGTTTAAATTGTTAATCTCACTGTTCTATCTGTATTAGTGAATACATTTACAGTAAGTTTTACTTTATAATATTTTGGCAGAACTGTTAGAAAAATTGTCATAAGCCCAGGAGTGGAACTGAACCATGAAAGCTAAACTGTAAGCTTCTGTGAAGCTGGGTTATTTGTATGACAGAATAAAATTTCACACACACAAAAGCTTCTAAGCTGTGATATTTTGAAAGCAAGAAGAGAGGGATGGGGAAGGGTAATCATAGTCATCTATGTTCTCTCTGATACTTCACTGAATGCTGCTGTAATAATATGTTGGTTTTGTCTGTTCTGTTTTTCAGGCATTTGGTGATGTTGGTGAGGAAAGTCTTTTGTGTAAAGTGAGCACAGACCAGGAGCGTAAAAGGGAAAAGGACAGTGTGCTGTGCGCATCTACATGTATCAAGCTGAGGGAGAGGAAAAAAAGTACAGCAAGGTGCAAAGGTATTATTTTCAATTTCTATACCTAGATGAAAAACCTAACAATCCTGATACCTAAGCATAAAATGTTGGGAGGGGTAGAAAAAAGCAAATAATTTTAGAACAGTTTCTTTTGGGAAGGCTAAGGTGTGATCAGTGACAGCTGAAATTTCACAGTTGTGTTTTCCAATGGGTGTTCATCCCTGGGTAGTTTCATCAACTGTTGCAAGAATCCTGAAGACTGAATGCTGTCCTTTACCCAAACACTGTCACACTTGTCATTCAGAATCCTAATACAGTAATGCAACCCAGAGTGATCTAACTTAGGCAAGCATTTAAATTATGTTGAGGGCAGGCTTAAATCAGTTATTGTATATATATATTTATGTATGTGTCCAGACATATTGGACTAAGCGCAAAAGTCCAAATCTCTCAGACTTGCATTGTGTTTCCCACTGTGCATTGAGAGCCACTGGCTCCCTCACTGTGCCTAGGGAAGTACATGCAGGGTGGAACATCTGTGTCGAGGTTCCAGTGAAGTTGCTCCTGACCAAAGGTAGTTTCAGGGCTTTTGATGACAGAGCGCTACGGAATGTGCTGGGTGTCCTTAGGCATCACTGTTATTATGAGATATCAGTTTCCTCTTGTTGCTCTTCAAAGCTCATTGTAGCCAGCTCCACAAATGAGTCCTATCACTGTAGGTTTTCCAACGCCCTCTAAGGAGTAAAATTCAGTTAAAAGCACCTTGTGTTACTTTTAAATTTACAGTAATTTTGTTTGCTAACAGAGAAACCTTGGAAAGTTCACATGAGCACAAAAGACACTTTTTTTAGGAAACTTGGTAAATTCAGTGTATGGGCTCTTGCTCTAAACCCCTTTTGTTTGGGGAGGGAGGTCATACATTATTGCTAGTGTACTTGCATCATGTCTTTCTCTATATCCTTTTTTTCTAATCTTCAGGAAATCACATTGTTCCTGACAAGAGCTAGTTCCTGCAGTAACACATGGCCTGTGGAGTTGTTTACATCGTGATCCACATCCATGGTATGGCTACTGTCTGATAGGATTTACATTTCTGATGGCTGCATCTCTGCCCATGCAGCGTTGTCCTGCGAATGCTGCCTTCGTAGCTCCTCTGTGGCTTCAACAAGCTGTGCAGTGTGGTGAATTCACAGGATCAGATCACAGACTGGATCATGAAAACATAATTATTTCATGTGACTTTTTATCCCTTCCCAGTTGTGGGACATTGCTAGATTTCTCAGGTTTGCTTGTTTCTGCTTTTTCAGCTTTGTTTGTGCATGTTAGCTGTGGTGGGGAAAATGTTGTTTATTTTTCTTTCAGGTTTCATGACTAAAACATTGACAATTTTCAGTAATTATTCCAAGCACAATGCTATTGTAATTGCAAGACTGTGAGAACACCCAGAAGAGGAGCAATGATGACTTCATCCACCAGTTAGCCAAATCCCAACCTGCTGCAAAATTTACGAGATCCAAGAAACCATTTTTTCTGAAGCATTTGTGGTGGCCATATCCTGCTTTCCTGTGAGCTACAGCGGCTTAAAGCATCCTGGAGGTTATGTTCATGCTTTCTTAGAAGTATTAAAGTTAGAACCAGCCACTTCTCTTTAGTTAGAACCAGTCAGTGCATATTCTATTTGCCTCCATACAAATGTATCAGAAATTGTCCATGCCTCAAAGGCAAGAACTATGAGAGACAACAGAAGAGGGTGGGAAGGGAAACACAGGCAAGAAAGGTGAAATAATTTGTGCAAGGCCATCTAAGTCAGAGGCAAATAGGAGAAATACAGGAGAAATACAGGGCAAACTGCCAGCATCCTGATTCAGTCTTCCCTTTTTGTCCTGAAAATGAAGCTAGAAACCAGAAGAAACTTACCTTACTGCTATTTTGAATAGTTTATGTAGAATTCTGAAGTAATCAATGACATTTTTTTAGCATGTTATGATTTTCTGGTGTCTCCTTGTTCACACTGCTATGGTAAAAGTTTTTCAGATGCATTTATCTTTGTAAGATCTTACTCAGTATTTTGAGCATAATTGATTAATAGCATTACCTAAATCTATAGTTATCCACCTGCATAAACATTAAATTACATTAGGTAGTAACCTAAAGGTTTAAATGTCACTTCTGAGCACAGTTTTAGTTTGGGGATACAAGGTTTGGTTTCCACCTTGTTACTTGTTTTTTTTTCTTTTTTGCAAGTTTATTTGTGTGGGTGTGCATATATCTGTGGATATTTTATGATATTTGCCCAGGCAGAAATGGTGTTAAAAACTTCTGAATATCTACAAGAATTGATTTGATTTTTGTGGCTTTTTTTTGCATAAGGTATTACTTGGATTACTTCTCTCTGTCATAACTGGAATAAAATTGCCTTTTAATGTTTGCTTTGCCTGTTGACACTTTAAACTTTTCTACATAACTTTGGAAAAGAAACTAGCTGAAGAGAAACCACCCAGTAACCTATTGCAGTTTCTGGGTGACAGTACCAAGGTGCTTTGGGCAGTATCTTACTAGGTGCATCTTCCTGGCCTCGATTTTGCCTTTCAGCATGACTGACTGTAATGGTAAAATCCCTTTGGCCAATATTATACCCTGAGTTTCTCACCACTGAGTTAAGATATCCCAGTCTGGTTCTGTGAGATTTTTACTTTGGTGTTCGTAATACAGTGTTGGAATTTAGTCTGATGATGGACTGACTTTATGTGTGGAACCACCATAGCTTAAGTTCTGATAGGACTGTGTTGATTTTTCTGACAAATGTGGATCTAGTACTGAAACTTTGTTCAGCATGAAGGATTTGACTGACCACTTTTATTCCTCCAGTTATATTGGAATGTCTCCACTGACTTTCATTTTATATAGGATGTCCAATTCTGTACATTACATATTTGTGAAAGTTGAATTTAAGGTATGTTTAAATATTAGGCAAATTTACCTTATTTTTTAATGTAGTGTCCTACTTATTAATTTTGATTACTTGCATCTTATGAGTTCCCATGTTTGTTGGTCAATGTGCAGTGGGTGGCGTTGGCTTTGAAATTGTTTTCTGAAGTGCTCTTATCAGCAGCATCATCCATAATGCTCGGTTATAGTTGGATAGTAATTGCCTGTCTATGCAGTGTTCCTTTACAACAATTTTTTCCTGTGTAGCTATATATATGTAGTCATTACTGAAAAGTGTAAATAAAGAATCCTTTTAGTGGTGTAGTTTCCCTGGGTACCTACTGTGCTCTTATTATCTAAAACATACTCCCCATCTGTAGTTCTGTTCTATTAAAGGATAAAGACATAACTATGAATTAAAAATTAAAATGCTTGTTGTAGATTGGAGAGCAGGATCTATTAGAATATATCTGGTGCTAGGCTTCCAGTACAGTAGATAGATTACACTGAGCACCAGTTAAGCAAGGGGATGAAAAGTGAGTGATTTTCATCATTCAGTTAAATATAGTGCTAAGTGGTGTGTGCTAGCATTAAAAGCAAATTACTTAGCACTTCACCAATCACAGCATGAGAGCATTCCATTGGAAACAGTATTTTCAGTGATGCTCAGTCCTCAGTTTTATTAAATAAATCCACTGTTAATGCTTAAGGAAGCAGTAGAAGACATATTGCTATGATAATAAAAAGATTGAAAATGTAAAAATAAAGAGAAGCAGTACCTCATTTTAATAAATGTGCTAAGAAATCCTCCCTCTCTCTTAACAACAAAACTCCAAAGTGCTGGTAGATCTATAATTTCCTGTACTTTCTTTAGGTCTCTTCCTTCCTTCCTAATGAATATGACCTTTCCTTTTTTTCCTTCTTTATAATGACATCTTTTTTTCTCATAAATCTGCTGCCGTGTCACTGAACATTTTGATGAGCTTCTCTGATTCCCTCTTATATCTCCTTGATAGGATATTATTATCCAGTAATCTAAAGATGGGGATCCTCAGCAAAAGTACTTTTTGGCTGCTCAGTTAAAGACAGTGGAGATGTGAGAATTTACAGCACAAGAGGTTTTGACGTGGTTTTTGGCTGCCTTTATATCATGTAGCAACATTTTTTCCTCCACAGCAATGAGCATTGGAAGACTCTCAGATCTGTTGTCTGAACACACGAAAGATGTGAATAGTCATAAACCTTTCTGAGTCTCAAACCATTCCTAAGCCACTGCCGCCTCCCAAACACGAGTCAGCAACTACACAAAAGAAATTCTTGGGAATGACACATGCAGGAGATGGTCCAAGGTCTGAGCCACAGATTGATCTTCACCAGCTAGATCAAATGTTAGAAGGACATAAAATTACAGTTCAGATGTAAAAATTACAGGATCAATGAGCCTACACATGAAGCTATTTTGAGTCCTTCATTTTCCCTGTAGTGACATCTTTGGGGAATCCTGTACTGAGTTTTCTCTCACAACTAGGTTTGAGGGCTGTTTTCTTTGTGTTTGTCTGACATGGAGTCCATTTCCTTGTGGCAGTCCTCAAAGTGCTGTTCTTTGCACAGGCAGCTGGAAAGGTGCTGCTGCCATGCCAGTGCCATGGCCATTGCTGGGCCACACTCGCACTCTTTCTCCAACATCCTCCTCCTCACCTGCAGGCTGGGCATGGGCAACAATTTGGGTGAGGACACAGCCAAGACTAAAACATTGACATTTTGGTCCAAGAGACCAAAAGGATATTCCAGATATTCCATACTCTATGGCACCTGCTCAGCAATAACAGCTAACAGAAAGCAGGACAAAAGGGCAGCATTCACTATTTATGACATTTGTGTTTTGGAGAAACCGCTGCAAATGCCAAAGCTCTGTTTCCTGAGAAGTGGCCAGGCGTTGCCTGCTGATGGGAAGTAGGGAATAAATTCCTTGTTTTCCTTGGCTGCCAATTTATCAAGCTGCCTTTATCTTGACCCATGAGGGATTTTTCTGTCTTATCTTCTCCTGCCCCCACTCCCTGCTATGGAGAAGAGTGATAGAGCAGCTTGGTGGGCATCTGATGTCCTGTCAAGGTCAACTCACGGATAAAGAGAAACATGTAGGAAGTGATGTAGTTCATCTATTTTTAGGACAAATGTTGACTGGAGGTGTTTTAGTTTTCTTGTGGCCCTAAGTTTCTGGGGTTCTACAGAAATTATGTGATCTTCTCAAAACAGGTACATTTTCCACTGTTGCTTAATGTGTGCTTAATGTTTTAGTAAAGTCAGTGTATTCTACTACATCAGAAGTCTTTTCGTTGATAGTGTAGGATAATAATATTAGACCTGAAAGAAATATTTTGCAAAATCTAGACCTATTTCAAAAAGTTTTCTCGTGAAGTGTCCTTTAAAAAAATATTTTAAAAAGCAAGGCATTTAAGCAATGCTTTCTCCCTTTCATGAAGTAGACTTTTTATTCTCATTTCCCTCTTTTTTACTTAAATATAGACTCCAAAATTGGCTCCCCCTCCCTTTTAACTAGAGCTTTATTCAAAGTACTTCCTTAAGCCTTAGCAGATTTTCTTCTTTTTTTTTTTTTTTTTACCAATAGAACCTTTCCTTCTCAAAATATTTGAGAACATGATATTTACCATAGATTTCAAAACATAGAATTGGTTTTTTTCATTTTCCTGGCTGGCATATAATGGTTCTGATGCATCTTTCCTGGGTATGCCAATCCTGTCATATACACTAATATGAAATAATGACACAAGGCTGACTTAACTAGACATAATAGGGCATTTTTCTAAAACATTCTGTTTGGGAGGTATATGCAGAGACCTTGCTACTTGTTAATGAAATTGGAAAACTTCTTCATCTGAACCATGACATATATTTATAATAGCCTCCTACTCCAAAGACATGGAGTCTTTACACAATAAAGTAATAAAAAAATTTAAAAAAGTATTTTTAAAAATCTTCATGTTTAAAATGAATTTTAAAACTTCACCATTCACAGTAAATTTGGAGCAGCAACAGCTATGATTGTGTCTAAAATCACTGCAAGAATATGCTTGTATATGTGTGCTCATGTACAGAATGAGAGCAGGGCAGATTTCAGTGGCAAGGCTCTGTATTTTAAATCTTTCCAAAGTTTTTTTCTGTTGTTGATGCTGTTTCAGTCTTTATTTTCTATCTTGAATTTAAAAATCACTGTTTGAAGGCTTTTGTGTTTTTTCCAGATATTATCTGTGAATTTATTAGAGAGCCTCTGAATATCAGAGAACATGCTTTACTTTTTTCATAATATATTTCAAATTCGAGATGAAAAAAACAGAAATCTTTAATGGTCTCATCACACGATTTTTTTCACTAACAAGTGGTGGACAGAAATGGGTTGTAGCCCCCGATTCCCCTCTGCTCCCTCCTCTCCCCCTGCTCTTTTATAAGCAGTGAAAAACTTACGATGTTACAATGACCCACCAACATCTCTTAAATGCTGATTTTCCTTATGAACCAATGACCTCATGCATGTGTATCTACCATATCAGGGACACAACATTTTATCTGAGTCTGGGCTTGAGTGTATAAGCTAAGGGCTTATCTCTGCCCCTCTGACAGCCTGAAGGATTTTAGAAGGGATGTCAAAAGAGCCAATACAGGCATGGCTATGTCCAAAAGGAAAATAGTGTGCACAGACTAAGATGTTGCATTCAGGTTGCTAATTTCTGGCTTTCCTCTTCTACCCTTGCTGTTGTTGTGGACACGCTCTCCTTTGAGCACAGCTGTGCCACCTGAAGAGATCATCTACAGCTGCTTTTTCATGCAGGAGAAGCTCCCATGGGAGCTTTCCCTCACCCAT